GCTACCATTGCCTGACTTCTATGTTAATATAGTGGCTGGATTTTTCCTCTAATCCTCAGGTAAATTTTATTGGGAGACACAGTATATTGGGGGACAGAATATATCAATATACACACACACACACACACACACACACACACACACACACACACACACACACACACTGGACCCTGTGTTGAATAGAGGAGCAATAAAGAATGGAATAGCAGGGTAAAAGTAATTTCATCAGGAACACAGGAAAAATGTGGGGTTTCTAATTAGGGAGGAAGAGGGCAGATAAGTACAGAAGAAGAGAGGAGAGAAAAAAAGAGTAGAGATGTCTAAGGAGGTAATAACGAATCATGTTATTAGCTTGCTGCATGAAATAAAACCCATAATATATGTAAGTCTGTATATAAATGTACAAATACAGCTTAAGTGAAATTTTCTCATCTGAGCTGACAATGCTCTCTGCAAGAGTCAAAGGCCATCCAACAAATCCCTCAAATCAGGTACAGGGAGCCCTCTTTGGGGTTGTTGGCCAGCGTTGTCCAAGAGACCCTCAAAGCATTATGAATTATGTGCCACTGACTTTGGTGGCCCTCCAGAGGTGGACAGTAAGTCCCATTGCTGAAAACACTATGCACTTCAGACTCTGAGGTTTTTTTCTTCATGTGTTTTTGTCAGAGTAGTTATTGTTCTTTCTAACTCACATGTAGAATCCTTTTAGTAATTCTAGTATGCTTGGTCTGCTGCTGATGTATTCACTCATTTTTTGCCTTCCTTAAGGATTCTGTTTCTACAGCATTCTTGAGGGATCATTTTTATGAATACAGTATTCTCATTAGACAGATTTTTCCCTTCTACATTTTAAAAACATCATTTTATTCCCTCTTTGACTGTAAGTTTTCTGATAAGAAATCTGCCATTATTCTAGAGAGGTATCAGTTTGATAAGCTATGTTAGCTTTGATGCCACTAACTGCCATAGTGCTTTCCCTCTATAGGTCCTTCAAGCTCTAGTTGATGACAGCAGCAGGCAAAGTTTCGGCATAAGAATGCACCTCAGTGTTTGTGGTGTTTTGTGAGTAGTGTGGCCATATACGTTGTACTAAGCATCCAGTCTTGCTATGGCTTGCAGGCTGGCGCAAAACCGATAGTACCAGGGACATGGAGTAAATCACCTTATTTTCAGCCATTTAACCGGGAAGAGGAAGATATGGGTCTTCAATCCCCAACTGAAACTACCCCAGCATCTTAGTTCTTAGGGAGAGCACACTACCCTGTTGCCCTTAGCCACCTTCTTTTAGTGTAGAGTGGTGCATAGACTTGGTTTGTGAAGTCATAGGTACATTTCTAGGTAATTTGGTAACTAAGGCTACACACATTTCTACTGTGTAATGGGATTCCAGTATGTCACAGCTTCACTAGGATTGCTTGTGCCTGACATACACAGGAAAGGGTGAGTTCTTCTCCATCCCGACTCTAACACTTTTCCACACTGTGGTTCTCCACCTTACCCTCCAAATGCTATGACCCTTAAATACAATTCCTCGTGTTGTGGTGTCTCCCAATCATAAAATTCTGTTATTGCTACTTCATAACTGTAATTTTGCTCTTGTTATGAATCACAAATGTAAATATCTGCTATACAGGATATCTGATATGCAACACCTGTGAAAGGGTCATTTGACTCCCAAAGAGGTCACGACCCACAGATTGATAATCACTGCCTAACCTGGTGGCTGGTGTAAGTACTCTACTCTCTTTCTGATGACAATCATAGGTCTCTGTGTTTTTCAGTATTCTTATACTAAGTTCCAGGGTTTTCTTTCAGCCTCTTACCTCAACTATAGCTTTTTAGTTGTTTTGGCTTTTGTTTGTGGAGGATAAGGTAGAAACCACCTGTTCAGCAATGTTAGCATCAGATTCATCTTTCTTAAACTCATCTGAGCCCTGGCTGATTTCTACAGGCACTTTTAAATATTCTTGATTTCTTATATAATATATTATTGAATTATGTTTATGATTTAACTCCGAAGTCTTAACTTGTATGCTAGTTGTCTTTAGTCCCTTCTTATTTGACTCAATAAGTCATGCTGTTATAATTCAGTTGAGTATTTACAAAAGGAAGTCTATTTCCCTGATGATATACATTTTTAGTGAACTACCATTCTTTTTAAGGCATAGACAAACATACACATGTACAAAAGGTAAATATAATTATAAATATGATTTTATAAGTTATAAAAAAATTGTTGGTATTTGAGAGATGGCTCAATAGTTAAGAGCACCGGCTGCTCTTATAGAGGACCCAGATTTGATTCCCAGCACTCACATAGTGTTTCACAATCATCTGTAACTCCAATTGCAGGAGTTCTAATGTCCTCTTCTATCCTCTAAGTGCAACAAACACACACATTGTGCATAGGCATACATGTATCCAAAACATTCATACCCCTAAAAAATAAGAATTATCACAAAAAGGTTAAAGGTATTTATTATGTCAAAAGCTCAAGTTTACTTCATTGTCCCTGTTCTGCCCATTGGTACCTGCACACCAGAAGTTTTGTGTTTGCTTCCAGTTCCCAAGCGACTCTCTGAGCTCTACCCATATTTCCTTCCCACACCAGGTCTTTGGCCTTTTATAGAGGAACCAGTTTTGTATATTTATCTGTACTTTCTTTTTCACATCTTCACCCAGTTTAATAACTGGTTGTGTCAAGTAGACCGTAGACAAGAATATTCTCTCCTACTTTTATGAAAGTCAATTTCCCTTCCCTTTTTAACCAAATGAACCAAGATATAGTCATTTATTATGATATTAGTCATTTACTAATTACTAGAACATAATAATGATTTGTACTTCTTAAAAATAATTTTTGTGCTTCCTACAAACAACTCAAACTTCTTTGAGCTTTTCTTTACTGAATCATAAATTTCTGCCATATGTACCTGGAACACAATAAGCCTGGATTCAAATTAGTAGAGGAAAGTGATGTCAGATTCTCTCTATGGCTGTGTGCCTTAGACATCTGTAACAACAATGTTTATTCATAAATGCAACGTTTATCATGGAGGGAAACACATATCTGAGAGCTAAGTGAAAGAAAAACAAAACGATAGACCAAATTCTTTTATTAAAGACTTAAGGAAGCATTACAGTGACATTCTAGTGCATTTTACACTGTGAAGGTTTTTTCTCTTTCCCTTTCAGATTACCTGCAGTTCAGGATATTTGGAACAGCCTTTTATCAACTTCTTTGGCTTTTAAACCTTAACCACTCTACACTTTGTCCACTTGCTCCAATGTATAGATGGGATCAGGTAAAATAGCAAGTATTGATATCACTTGGAGGGCTAGAAAATGGCTCTCTCCTTCAGTTTTGATACAGTTGAACAAAGTAAAAATTCAAACCTCAAAATCTAGCAGGTAGGACTTCTACAGGAGCTGGCTTGAAAGGAATGAAGAGAGTAATAGGAACTATTATCTAGTTGTATTTTTCTCTGATGAAGGGGAGTCTCTATCTTTTAAAGTAAAAGTAAATTTGAGCCTATCTTAAGGAAGAATGCATGACTTTGGCAAGGGAAGAAGGAAGGCTTCCTGTGGATCTCCACCTCTTCCTCAGCTTCTCCACATCTAATCACCCAGTTTTGTGCTCTGCTGTGTAACAGACCACATGCTGTGACCTCTCCTAGATCTCTGCCCACACTCCCAGGGGATGAAGCAGATCTCAGTAGAGCAGCTTGTTTCCTCTCTCTATGATGCTCCTCAGTCCCCTCTTCCTAGTGAATCCCCATCCCTAATATAAGCTCTCAATTACCTAGAAATTCATTTTACCCACAATGCCCAGTGATCACACCAATAAGAATCCCATAAAAAACAATGCTGATATGAACATAGCTGAGCAAGTGCT